TGAAATGGTAAATTCCTTTTTGGATGATCGGAATTTGGTTAGATGGATTTTGGACAGTGGAAGTTAGACAACGAAACCTGGACAGGTCCAAAGTCCATTATAAGTAAAAATCAGACATTTATTACACAATTTTTCCAAATTCCGCACGATCTTGGATATTGTCTAAATTCCGTGTGGCCAAATTCCGATTCTCCAAATTGTACTATTCCATTGAAATTACAGTATTTCTAAAATCTGGTGTTTAGCTGATTTGTCTAAAACAAATTGAGCATGATTAGTTTTTTGCAATATTGTAACATCAACAAATGATGATAATGAAGAATGCGTTAAATATCTTTTAATTAGATCAACTGGAATAATGTCATCGTCTTCTGACAGGAATACATGTGCTTTGACATCACTATCCTTTCCAATTTTCTGCAAGTCTTCTAACCATAAGTTACCTTCAAACCAACAAAAGTGTCTTTCTAGAGTATTGGCAGTATAGAGAAGTCTACTACAATACAGGTACAGCATTAATTGATATGGTGTGCTAGGGATACGATATAAAAAATTGTAGACCATTGTTGAGTCAAACAGTATAAAGCAAACAGGATCAATAAGAACTACATGTGAAACGAGATGAGGAAGATGTTTAATTATCCATGTTGCAGCCAATGTACCGTAACTGTGACCTATGATATCTATTTGAATATTTTTATGTTGATAAATACCCAACTGAGCGAGAGAATGGTTTTTATAAAACATTATTTCAATGGCATTGAGCACATCGTCCATCGAATGTACGTGTGAATGTATTTTTATTGCCACGTGCGGAAATTCAACAATGAATATGGCTCGTTGAACTGCGGAACTCGTGCAGTGATTGGTACATTTACAACCATTTACATGCTTTATGTTACCTGATTTGTGAAGTTTGTATAAAAATGGGATATAAAACGATAATCCACAACTTGCACCGTGAAGAAATAAGATTGGTTTCAAAGGTGGACACTGACATGTTGAGCAAGATGAACATTCGGAATATTTATGTTGTTCAGTAGGAGATAATTTCGAATATAATTTGGCTTCCCTCATCCAATAGACAACGTTATTAACAGAATAACGAGAATATTTTAGACACTTTAGTGGTATATATCCAAAGAAACTATCAACAATTAAAAAAAAGATGTAGAACAGAAGAGGATAGTATATCCATCGGACAGGTTGTAAGAGAGGTTTCATACATTTTATTTCAGAATTATAACCAGATGGAATGTGTTGATCTTGTTGAATAGAAGGAAACCGTTTTATCATAGAGTCATAATAAGATTGCCACAGTTTTTCTACATATTTTCTTCCATTACGTGTCAGTTTTTCCAAATCTTTTACATACGTAACAAATGCAAAGTATTCCAGTAGATTTTCTTTATAGATTGTTTCAGGTTCGACGTTATAAAACCAACCAGTAAACAATAACCGAATATCCTTTAGGAGTGTGTTGATGTATTTTTGATCTGCCGAATAAATATCTAAAATTCGATCAATAAATATTTCTTCGAAATCCTTTGGTATTGGCTCGATATCAGGTTTGCTTTCCCGAAACTGACTTGCTTGACGAAGCGTATAAAAACAGAAAACGATCTCTATTAAACAATACACGAATATATAATTATTAACTCGAGAAAAAACAAAATAGATGACACAAATGGGTAAGACGGATATGTAGAATGATCGTGTAACAAATAGAAATAGAAATAAAGTAATATTGTTGAAAGTGATTGCTTTAAACACTTGTCTATGAGAATACGCTACCCATAAGCATACGATGAGATAAATGAATTGAGCGATAAAAAATACAGAGAAAATCATTATCTAAAAGTAATATTTTTTCCCGTATATTTGAACTTAAAATCGTTAGAACTACTGTACATAACAGGTTTATTCGCATTATTACAGATAAATGTGACTATTAAACACGTTCTGTTCTGCATGGATGTAACATGAATAATATGGACCTTCTACTACTAAGACAGGTGAGTAGATGAAATTACAGGGGTGAGTTTTCTTTATAAGTGTTAACCAAGTGTGAAAGAGTGCGTGTTAATTGCACTCTGTTAGTCACTAATGCGTCATTTTAGTAACAAAAAATAAATGCTGATTTTTCTTGTAGAAGAAGTAACATTTACCGCCGACTCTCCGGTTCCTTTTAGTTTGTTTTAGGATACAGTCTCAAAAAACATCCTTATACGCAAGATTCGAAACAGCGATCTGTATTTAGAGATATTTCCATCAATGGCTATTTAAACAAATGAACTATATCATTGGTTTCAGTGTGTAAAGCTAGACAATTACTTCTCAGTGTGTGTTTTACACACCGATGCTTTGTATTCTGGTGAGTAACTGGAAGTCGAATTAGCGTGTCATTTACACACTTCTCTAAACAGTGACCAGATGCGGTCAGCATCAAACACTCATAGAAAGTCATCTTATCGACAAACAGCATGTATGCATGCCTTGCCGATCAATCCCTTCCTTCAATAAAATAAACAAATTTTTTATGGCTGCTTTTTTTATCGAGAATGTAAAAAAGGTTTTAAAATGTTTTGGGTGATGTCAGAACAATGACAAAACAACGTATTCACATGTCAAATGATTTTAACTAAGAACGATTAGCCGTTCTACTATAGAACAGAAAAGTAGGTCAAGCAGAAGATTATTTTGTGCTCATGCTTTTGAATATATAGTAGACACTTTTGGCTGTATAATAAGTAATAGCGTCAAAGAATTGTAACTTAAGAAAAAGCATTTTAAATCATTCAACCTTTTTTGATATACTATTTGTACTAAAAGATGAAAGAACACTGAAATGATTTTGCTGAGTAAGAAAATTCAGAAAACTAGCAAATATCTCTTGTATCTCGGTAAGAGTAGTTGTTTACACCGCTTAGAAATAATTTATTATTCCATGTCAAAGATAAAACTAAGCAGAAGTGCCCGTTGTCCAAGAGAAATCTTTTGAACGGTGTTGGACGACACGCTTTTGAGATATAGTGACGCCAGTAGTGACTTGTTGCATGATATAAATCTGATAATGACAGTAAACACTCTAAAACTGCAGGTCGATAACCCTTTTCATTCCAAAGTTATTTGTAAAGCATCCGTGGCAACAAAAAGGACCATATTGCATGATGACGCTGTGTCAAGCGGTTTTCAAGCAGCTGTGTCAAAGCTATTAAGCAACTTGAGAAAGATTTAAGCAGTTTTGGCTCTCGAAATCTATAACTCCTGCAGAAAACTTTATTTCTGGCAAAATTTCCAAAAGGTTTGGTTTTTGTCTTCTACATTGGCCCCCTTGCTTTATCCATATAATTGAGAACATCCGTTTCCCTAATGTACTGCACATGTGTGAATACAATAATAAAGCGTTTTTTAAAAGTTATCCTAGTGAAAGTTCTTGAAGCAAAGAAAGCAAGATGTTGGGACATTTCTTGAGCAAGAATAAAGATGTAAATTTTCTTGGATGTTTCTTGATGTAAGAAACCATATTGGATATGGGACCTCAGCCCGCAAGCCGGTGTGGAAAATCTGAATCGGCAGTTCGATTCAGAATATTTTTCTCTTACTATACTGAAATGCTCAGCTCCGATCCTTTCAATTTATTTATAGAGCGCTCGTGTCTACCTAGATTTATTTTATTCGTTTCGTACACTAACCAATAGAAATTCAAGATGGCTGCCATGCCTAAAATTCTACGTAGAGCGCTTGCTTTACTCAAAAATAATTACAGTGTGGTCTGATAAAACGAATCGCACAGAAAAAGGCCAATCAATGTCAAATGCATTCACATCCGTGACATCTGCTAAATTTGCTTGTCCGAAGATATAAATGGCGAGAAAGAGTTTTGAATTGCATCTTCTTTGAAACATAATAGATTTTTTTTGTTTAAATCCAGTCCCGCGCGATAGGTGTCGCACATACACGGCGAAGCTTTGAAGAAAACTGTAGATGTTGTAGAGGCTGTACCATGAAGCTTGCTAAATTAATGGCGGAATGATTAAAAGTATGATTCGGTTTTCTTTGCGAGTTACCGTGTGTTCTTAAGGTGTTCTTGATTACGATTGATGTGAATTAGCGCACTTGCGTGTGAAATAAGGTTTATTTCTTGTTCATTATATTACTTTCTTACTCACCGGTACAAAAACAAAAATACAATACAAATGAATGCAAAACGCGTTTTTATTTAGAAAAAGTATAGATTTAAAAACGTACGAAATGACGAAAAGGAAAATACTGTCATATGAAGTATTTTAATAAAACTGTTCTACTTTTATACTAGCCAGTTTTGAACAGGATAAGGGGTCAACTGAATTGTATTTACTGACTGGTTCCACCGCACTATGTGCAATTCTACCGATTGTGGAATAGTACCAGTCAAAATGAGTCATTGAGATCTTGAAGTACATCGTAATTAGAATATCGTCGATTTTTTGCACGTTTCATCGGTGAATCGGTCATCTAAAAAGTGAAATAGTGACCAATAATCTATATGGAAGATTCCTCATCTCTTACCGGAATAAACATCTTCGGCGGTTCATTTTTACTGTTGATACGGGCATGTGTTAATTTTCTTGATGATCTTCGTCGTTGTTCGGACGTTTTGGACTGAAATGGAATCGATGTTGTAGGCTGAGAGAAAGATGCCGGAGAAAATGGAATTTTCTAAAGAGAAGGGCGTTTATATTCATCAGTATCCTCTCTCGTTGTACTTACAAAACTAAAGTCTTTCAGATCGGCAGATTTAGCAGTCGTTTGAGGCTGAACGGCTTCTTGTAAACGAGTAGTAGTTCTTCTCTGAAAAGTAATACAAGTGTCAGATTATTTTCACAGCACTTTCTTATAACTCACCGGTTTTGTGAGCATTTTTTGCCGTTTACGATAATTAAAGAAATTGACATCGTCTTCTTCTTCGGTCGAGCTTTTACAATAGCTGTGCTCCACATGGTCTGTTGCTAGACTTTCCGCTTCTGAATCGCAATCGTCTTCGTTCGGCATCGTTGTTGGCTGCAATAGCACCTGTTGCGGCTGTGACTGCACAAAGTCATTAACTTCAAAGTCCGAGATATTACTCTAGAGATAAAAAAGGACTGATTTTAAATCAATTCAAGTCCACGTGTGACTACTTACAGAGCTGCAGGAGTCATAACGATCAAATTCGCTTTCTTCGTCGTCTTCTTCACTATAGTCCGTATTTCGTGCACTTGAAAAATCATCGCTTTCACTATCAACGTTTGTGCTGCTGCTCGAGAAACCGAGCTTAGTCATCTAAATAAACAAAAATAAAGACAGCATGTTTTAAATTCAAACAAATGAACTTACTTGCGTGTTTGATCGATTATGGCATTTTTCTGGTGAACACTGACAACAAATCGTACATTTTAAGCCGTATTTGCCGCAATTGCATCGTAGACATCCACTTGTACATTTTCCATATACCACTAAACGAGTATCTACCGGATTTTGCTCGATTGAGGTCCATTTTATCTGAACTTCACCATTCTCGCTTGTGAAGCCGGCACAGGTCTCTAGCGGTGGTAAGTTTAAATCTTGTTCAAAAGTGCGGAGCCATATGCCAATTTGTCGTGCAGCGCGTAAACAATGATCATAAAAGGCATTGGACGACGGTGGAAGACTGGCTGCGATTTGTTTGCGTCTAGATTAAAAATATCGAAAGCCATTGTTCCTCGAAGTTCGTCTAAAGATGTTGGCGCTAATTTGCCTGAATAGCAGGCGAGGATTAGTTGCTCGGCTGTTGCCACTGCCTCGTTTGACAATGGTGACGAAAAAAACTGTTTGAGATTAGAGAAACGTTTACAATCAGTGAAGAACGTTCGAAATAATTTTATTTTCGTAACGTTTTTAATGAATGAGGTCGTATCGCATCCGGATAGCGCATGAATAACCAGTAAAATGAGTGGGTCGATGACGAATTTACGCTTGAGTTCAGTCGCTATTCTATAGGCATCGATGTACGTATTCGATTTGTATGTTGTATTGAACGATTTGATCAAGAAACTGTGAATATACGTAGATAGAACATGAGCAACCGAAAGTAGGATTATGTCAGTATCGTTGGCTTGGATAACTATTGATCTGTAGTCTTCCAGCCGTAGTACTTGCACATGTAAAAGTATTCGAGTGTCGGCCTCTAGGTGATCGGATCGCAGCATATAATCTTCTGTTGGAGATTGGTCTTTTTGAAGCTTCATTGCTATCTCGTCCGGTCCTGCCACCACCAGAATTCGCCCATCTGGCAGTAATTGTACCATTGCAGGATCAGACCAGCATTCCCGTACTTGGGCTGCTAAAACTGACCTATTATTATGCAAAAAATTATGATAAGACGCTTCGAGTATATCGTCGTTATGGAGATTATATTCCGGTGTTATAGTTTCCTTGCCGTGGCGTTTGATGAATGCTTTAACGGTCTTACTTTCGGCAGAATCGAAAATCACGTCAATTCTTTCATATTGTTGAAAATTGTATTTAATAACAGTGTTCAGAAGTTGCAGGGCATACTAAATAAAAACGTTCAAATTAAATAGGCAGCTCGAGAGCAGAAGTCAAAGTAGCGGTAAAGAAAACCCGTTTCTGACGTAAAATGATTATATATTAAGCAAATTACTTACATTGCGAACTGTAGTATTTCTTGATGCTGGTCTTGTTTCGAGTAAACTACCACCGTCAATGACTAAGGCACAACTACCAGTTATTTTCGGACATGATGACAAAAACGCTGACGGAAATTGTTCTTTCAAAAATTCGATAGCACCGGATTTCTTCTGCTGGTTCATTAATTCACAGTTGTGATTATCACATAATGATAATGGTGCTGGAGTAAACTCGTGTGCAAAGAGGGATCGTGGATGAATATTTCGCTCTTGCGGGAGGATGAGTATTCGACGAATTTCATCGTCAACTGCTTTCAGTATTTTTGTTAAATCTTTTGAAGAATTGGCCTTTGCTCTTTGTTGCTTCGTAGCCGAATAGTTACCGGGTATATACGAGTCGACATCACGCAGTTGTAGAACAGAAATCGGAATGACAAGGTGATAGAGAGACATGTGATTGAAACGAACAATTCCTCTTTGGAGGAAGAAAAGACGTCCTGAAAGAGGAAAACTTTTCGACTTACTAAGACGGAGCATCGCTTTCAGTGGTGAATCGATTTCAACAGATTTGGTAACCAGCCTATCCTTGATGTACTTCGTCATTGCTTCCTCACCACACTTGAACGATGAGCAGATGTTGTCTATGATATCGCTGTGTATAATCTTGCCGACAATAGTTTTCGCACCTGTATGACTGTTGGTGAGAAGATGTTTTCTTCTTTCAGTTTTGTCAATAGAATTGTCAAATCTTTTTCATCAATATCTTGTCTCGTCGGCGTACATTCCACGTGAGAGTTGAGGCTGTTTTTTGACGTTTCGATACCACATATTTCATGTAACGACGAGGTGAGTAGGGCACGATATGAGAATGAATGGATCCATGTATCGATGGTTGTTTCGTTGAATTTTCCAGAAATGCCACCGTGACTTTTTCCGAGTTTGTTTATCGAACATTCAATGCTCTGATCGAGCGCTATACCTAAAAACGGACAAGCGTATGAATGACAAATTTTGAATGAGTACGCTCTACTTACTTGAAAACGGTCGATGTGTTCGATTAACAGCGAATGCTCGAGATAGTCTTTGGAGGAGGTACGGTGAACTCGAGCGTAAGTCACACAAATGTTGAGCACAAAGACGAGCATAATTACGATGATTATTAGCGAAGAATAAATGAGCGATTCTGGACACACATGCATTTCGAGCATCGAAATTTGATGTTCTAATAGATACGTATAATGTCATGAGTGGTTCTAGAAGGTGATGTAGAATAAAAAACCAAAATCGAAATGAGATGCTCTGCTGACCGACTTCAGCCGCCCATGAAAACAGCGCACAGGGCAATTCTACCCGAGCAATCTCGTTTAGCAAATTATTGAACCATTTATTTTGAGAATTGTTTATGTTGTCGAGTGGCATAGAATGAAAAATCGCTGCGAGATTATCAATCGAATTATTCGATTGCAATGATGTGGCAGTAGATGTTCTGAATGACTCGATAAATAGTACGGATAACGCAGTAAAAAGAAGTTTGCACGCTCGTAAAGATTTGTTAAAATGATGGACGTTGAGAATAGAACGTAGTGCTGCACCTTTGTATAAGTAATTGAGAATATCCTCAATACCCGAGCCATCCAATACGTCCCAAACTACAATCATTGTGGTTTTCATAAGGTGAAAATCTCCAGGATATATGGTGATACGTTGGAAATCGAACAGATTCTGTTGTCGTACCTAAAACGAAATGCGAGACCATCTTTAGAGCAAGAGTAAAGTGTACACAAACATACCTTCACACAGTTCTTGTAAATTTTCTCATCTACCACTAAGACTGACTCTTTCTGATAATTTGAATCAATAAGAGTAACTTTAGTGGAACGTAGACAAGATTCAGCAGCGTATAAGGAGCTGGGGTCGTCGTTGATTGGTGTACAAAATGTGATGGTGTGGATAGGACGTTGTTCGAAAGAAAGATAGGTGGCGAAAAAACCAGATAACAATGGGAACTGAACGCTTGGACAGGACGAAATCGGCACTGATTGCTGTTTATTTTGTTGAGATTTGTGTTTCGATATAACATAGCCGAGAAGATTTAGACACAACGAATTGTCGGTAAATGGTTGATACTGATTTTGAACTGGATCGGTTGATGTTGACGACAGGCATATTGTACTCACTGCATCGCTAGCACTAGGCAATTCGAGCAGTGGTACCGAACGTGAGACGCGATCTTTTATTTCCGTTAAAATTTCATTGACAATGGACGATATTTCGTCATTTTCGCCTGTTTGAACGATAATTTGATTAAGAATATGAATGCTGTTCTCTCCATGAACCGTTCCTTTGTTCATATCAAAATTGTCGGCGACTTTCACTGCGAATTCATGACAATGTTGCCGGGCATTTTTACGATGAACGTTTGAAAGAGAAGACGACGATGTTTTTGCAATTTCGGCGGCTTCCTTTTGTAGTCGAAGCATTGTTTTGTAACTGCATGTGTGGCCCAACCGGTTTGTTATTGTTAGAAGTTGGGCAGATCGTTCATGTCGACATATTTCGTTGGCCAGCAGATATTGCTTCGGTGTAATAAGTCTCTCGTTTTTGCAGCTAATAATATCGTAAGATATCGACGATATCTTTCGCCAGTTGTCACTTTTATTGAACATATCACGTTTGAACACTACAGATATAAATAATGAATATCATTCAGAAACACTGGGATGTAAACTACTTACAGTCATAGAATTCATAGTCCCGCTTTAGCTTGTCAAATTGTTGTTCGCTCGAAGTTAAAATGCCGATAAAATTTTTTAGTAATAGTGGCACACAATCCCAGAAGGGCGACGGTGTGAACTGAGCTAAACGAGATCGATTTTTCTTCAATGTTTTGAAATAATGCGAAGAGTCTTTGATAGACTTCCGTACCAGACTGATGCTGCTGAAGAGAGCTTCACATTTACTTAATTCGGATTGAGTGTCGTACTCTCTCATGTAGAGTGTTCTAGAGTTGTTATCGTACGATGATGATGACGATAGCGCTGCATCTGTGTAAAATGAGAGGTCGTTGATCGCCACGTACGTACCACCAAGCTTGTCTTTTTGAGGGAAATATAATGAATCACCAAACTTAGTAATCAGGCGTGCACGAATGGACGAGGTCCGCAGAATTGCTTCGGACGGTGGTTCGTTTCTTCGACGTAATATAGACTCGTATTGACTTCGAACTTCAAGCATTTGAACGATTACGCCTGTTTTTAAGATATCAATCAGCCATCCACAAAGTTCTTCAAAACTGTTTTCGTACAGATGTGTCGTTTGTTTGTCATCACCAGGAAAGACTAGACCATCGCACGACGTCGTTTTTTGTCTCCCAGATCGGCGACGGATAAATGTCGTTGATGATCCAGCGTTATTCTTGCTGTTGGATAAATTCTACAACAACAGATCAAAAATCGTAAGAGGAGAAGAAGCGATTTTTTTTTATATAGATACCTTTCGTTGTCCAAGAGTACAGATGTGGCTAGATGGTTTCTTCCGTGAGATGCTTAGTGTTACAGTTTTTTCACTTTCACGCTTTTCGAAACTTGCATGCAAACATTTAACAGGAGTGTAGCAGCTGTTGGATGAGACATTCGAGATAATTGACTGATCGTTGTTATTCATGTTTCGCTTTCTGAACCATGTACGGCGCTAAACGAAAAAAAACATACATGTTATTTATATCTATCCAAAATACTACACTATGTCATACCTGACTACTCGTCGTGTTTCCACTAGCCGTATGTGACAATGGAAATAGTGCTCGGACTACGTTAGGAATGGAAGTATACGTGTCAACCGTTGAAGGAAATAAATCGATAGTAGCAGATGTGTGAGCTTTGGAGATGTCAATCACTGGCATTGATGGACCAATTGAATCGAGATAAGCAGCTGTGTCCACCGCACCATGTTCAGCGGGCGACATGTGCAATTCTACCGCATGTGAGGCAACAGCGCCTAGACTTTTCAAAAGCTGCAAGGGCGATTTTATATTTTCGACGAGTGAATGTCCGCGACGAACGATGGTGATGGATGACCCATTGGGTGTTTTTGTCGATCGAGTTTTGATGATAGCATCAACACTTGGATAGTTCGTACGATTGTGAAAAGGACGTCGAGAACTTATCGATCTAAACTGAGTGGTTCTGAAGTCCTCATTTTCATCGTTGTCAGTATTACTGGAAGTTGAAATATTTTCTAGTCTGTTTATACGATTCTAAATAATGAGACAATTCCTAAACTGAATTCGTGTACATGTACACGTTTTCTTACCTGCTTAATTCGCTGGTGTTCCATCGTAGCAATAACATTCTTCAAAAAATAGCCCATTTTGTGTGGTGTTTTATGACTGTTTTTCTTCATTCGTGGAATCGGAGGAAGATTTCTTGTGAGACGCTTGTAGCATGTTCTATGCACGAACTCGTTCAAAAGAGAATCGACCGGCAGGTCTTTTTGAAATCGCAATTCATAGCCACGCCGTAATTTCGCTTCACTTTCGTCGGAGTTAATTGTGATATAAAATTTCTTGGAGATAGCAGCAACACGATCACAAACGACGCACCGTCGCTGAGATGACGGCATGGTATGACAAGAAGCCTTTCTCAGGTGCTCGAGATACTTTTATCGATACTGTTCTAAAACTTAGCTTTCTTCTATTCAACACATGACATAGGAGTATGTGAGAAAAAGCATTTTTCATTTTTTACCGGTCAGCACAAGAACGGTTGTGTACACGGTTGCTGTGTAACTGTTGTAGCTCAAACTGGAATTCAGTCAAATCTTAGATTTGCCTAGACCAAACTAATATTCCACTTTAGCCTAGCCAAAACTGAGGTCAGTCAAATCCGAGATATAACCAGTCAAAAAGTCAAAAGTAGCATATCAATTAAAAATGAATACAAACATATTATTATCACGCTCTTGGTTTCTCGACTATAGACTAGAGATGTATTTCAGCCTAGGATGACTTTTTTCTATATTCTGTAGCCTATAGCCGATATTTATCTACTTAATCGCGTAAAGGTGGCATGATATCTAAGTAGTAGTGTTTTTTGGAGGAGATTTTATTTTTTGTTTGTCATCTCTCTTCATCACACTGATAGCTGGAAATATATTCTGATTTATAGAAAATTGACTTATAAATGCTCAAGCGTTTTAAAAAATCTAGAAAATGGTAGACAATTTATAACTTTCTAGAAAATGAACATTTTTTAAAAAAGAGAAGTTCCATTCGATTTTCTGCTGCGTGGAAAACTAAATTTGATTTTCTAGAAAATCGAGCGATTTTCTAGAAAATCAAGTTTGGTTTTACAGAAAATAAAAAGAAGACGATTTGTTTATTGCATACAATCAGACAAGCCTGCCTTTCATTTTAGTGGGCAACAGTCGACAAAAATGGAATATTTCACAGCTGAGAATGTACGTGTGTTCTTTTTCTGAGTTTCGAACAGAAATGTTTTTATTTATTTTTAACTATTCTAAATAAAGGCATATAGAACTCTCTCTTACGACTATTTCTAACTGCTAAGATTTTTTTCTTGATGGTTATTGGAAAATGCTTCCCTGGCGAAATCCGGGGGCAATTTTCCTGTTCAAAAATCAAATATGATTTTCTGAAAAATCAGATTCGATTTTCTAAAATTAAACCTGATTTTCTATAAAATCAAGTCTGATTTTTTAGAAAATAAATGAGAAATCGATTTTTAGAAAATCATATCTTAAAGAAAACAGAAAATCACTGGCGAATTTATATAGGCATTTCTAGAAAATCATTTTTTTTTCTATAACTTATTTTCTGTTTTTCAATGTACTTAATATGTACAAAACATTCATAAACCGTAAATTGAACAAATAAACAACAAGAGCAAAATGAAAATAAAGCTATGCACAGTTTTTGATCAGAGTTTTTAATCCTAAAAAAAGTAGTTTCAATACTTCACTCTAGACTTTCTCAAAAGAAATAAGTTCCTAGAAAGACAATCAACTATTTACATTTTTCTTAGTATGTTCCTTATTGTAGAACAACACTAATAGCAAGTAGAAAAAGAATAAAAACTCATCACACCAGAGGTGCCGGTATGAATTTTAATGCCGACCGGTATACCAGCATTAGTATGAAGTTTAATCAGTCGGTCGATGTTGCTGGTATTTTGCGGTACGATAGGATTTTTCAAAAAAAATCGTGTAAATTTCGTTCATTTGTGACATATTTCCTTCACTAAATTTTCATTCCAATTACTTAACCTTTGTCGGCCTATATAAACTTCTTAATTTAAAAAACTGAATTGGATTTCTGTTTACGTAAAAAAAAGCGTGTGAAAAATCAGCTATACATAATCAAAGTGAAAACATTAATCTATCCCTTTGATAATATAAGTAGACTTTAGTACAACTGCCTCACATTCTGAATAACTGTAAATAAAGTTCAGAGTAAAGAAAAACAAGTAAAAGTGTTCGCATTTAGGCAGAACATGATCCAAAACACGCGATATCGACTGGTATACCGACCGGTACCGGTACGAAGTTTGTATACCTGCGACCAGTGACGGGATCGCATTTTTGATACCGGTTACACCCCTGCATCATATTAATCTTTAAAGTCTCGTTAAAGTCATTACACTTTTCGCTCGATTCTCTCCTGAACAAAAAATGGTTGATTAAATCTCAGATCTGACTAATTTTTATTTGTTTCTTTTATTTCTACAACAACGCGCTTTTTCGATCTTTTTATACATGTTTAATAATTGTTCGTCATCTTCTGATAAACATATGACTTTTTCGATGCGCTCAATAAACGAATAGTCGAGTGGCATTGATAATACCAGCTTGTCCGTTGAATCGAAATAAAAATACACCAGACGACAACAAGACGACTGTTTTTCATATTCGATTGATTTCAATCGCCCAAATCGTTCAAACAAATTAATCAACACACTTGTTGTTGTGTTTGATCGAAGATATACGATCACTGTTGATGAGATAATGAGTCGATGTTCGAGTGGTGCATTCGGCAGCATTCTTTTCAATTTCACTGATCGGTCTTTGACATAAATGGAATTTGTTTCTAAAATGCACAAAATTTACTTTAAAACTACCTACCAATACCTCTCAAAAGTTACATAGATCCGAAATTTCACTCCCTCCTTTCACGGAACGTTTTTAATGGACATTCTATGGATTAAAGATGCATACTTTTCTCATGTCTTTCTATATGAACAGGATAAATCTCTATACACTGTAGATCAATGCAAAGATGCTTGATATTTTGTTTTAGAGAAAGATTCGAATACGAGTACACTCAGCTACATTTTACGAATGCTTAAAGGAATAAGAGCTAGAGTACAAGTAGGTTACTCACCGTAATATTTCATTAAATGTTCAATATCATCGAGGTGTTTAAACTTTAAAAATGCCATACCACTGAACACTTTTTTTCCACATTCTCTTGTGTACATCATAGTGACGGATAATGAGCCAAATGTTTTAAAACTGCGTCTGACGATGATATATCGGCGGATATTTTGAAAGCAGGTGGTGTGCCGTTGTTGAAGTGGCTGCATGAGATATTTTTAGATATCTGGAATAGTGAAGTGATGGTAGACGACTGGACCTCTGCAATTCTGAT